TTATAAATACAGTAGAGCGTCGTTTATCCGAATCAATTGGGGACTGGGATTGTTCGGATAACTTATTTTTCAGTTAACGAATCATGTACGGAAAAATATATTAATTTACCCCATGTTAAAATTTCTCTCCGTTGCATGTCAATTCGCGTTGAATTTTGATCGATGTTAAGCCTAACGAAGACTATTGTATTGTTAAAAATTATTTGTTTATTTTGTACAAACAAAATAAATATATTGAAAAATATAAAAACAATAAAAAAATATACTTCAGAACTTAATTTAGTATCAAAAACGTAAAATATTTGAGTAGCCCAAGACATAGCCAGAGATTGCAGCGCCACAGCACTAGCAAAAATTTAAATTTGCCAACTGGAATTCTTTCGGATAACTGACTTTCGGATAAACGACGCTCTACTGTATGTTCTATATTTGTGAATGTATTCATACTTTTAATAAAAATAAATAATGAATTAAATATTAATTTTAGAAAAAGATGTCAAAATTTTTTATAATTTCATATTACTTGATTTGAAATTTTTGTTTCTAGGGATGTAAATTTTTATTTGAAAATACTTTGTTTTGTTAAAAATCAACTGAACTTTTAATATAATTTTATTATACAGTGGAACCTCGGTATACGTCTGCTTTAGAGTACGTCCAATTCAGAATACGTCCTGTTTGGACGAAACAAATTTTGCTCGGTATACGACTTAATTCAATTATATGCGCCATCTATCAACAAGTAGCACTATCGGTGTACTACACTAGACTAGACGTTCGCGGTGCTACGGTTTATAACTTTGTTAAATTTCTTCTGATTTTAATTTGTAAGTAACATTTTATTATTTTTATTAATCATGAATTGCAAAAGGGCAACAGAAAAATAAAAAAATGACTAGAATCACAACGGAACTGAAAAAAGAGATTGTTGAGAAATATGAAGGTGGCACGCGTGTTCNACTAAAATGTAAATGCATTTGTATTTTCAAATACTTCAGTTAACTTTAATGTTACCAAGTGATAAATTTTATTTTTCAATGAAAAACAAGAATTAAACCACAGGCAAAATTGATATAATATACAAAATAATGTTATTATGTTAAAATATGTGTATTTTTCCAGACTTTCAATTTATAACTAAATAAAATTCAATTTATCTCTTAGTAAGAAAGAAAAAAAAGCACACTTCTTCCTCACATTAAAAATGAAATTGTTAATTACAGTTAATTTCAATATGTATCTGTATTTTTCAGTTTGATACTTTATCATTATTATTGTGGGAAAAAAGACAAAGTAATGTCTTTCTCAGACTTTATACAAGTTATGTAATCTTAGGTTATATTTTATATGAAAATAATTTAATTTTTGCTAACACATAATTATAAAAAAGAAATACAGTGGGTGATCGGTTAATGAACAGATCAGATAACAAACAAATCGGATAACGAACACTTTAGCGAAAGATTTTTATGTTCGGACAACAAACACCTCACAGAACAAACACAAGAAAAAGTGACATAAAATAACGAATACCGATTGGTCTTCCCTTGTCTTCGGGCAACAATTCGAAACTTTTCGGAGTGTGGGAGACGTTGACATCGACATCGACGCTCAAGCCGGTATATACCGATTAGATAGTTTTCCTCCGAACTTTGAAACTCTTCCTTGTAATTCCAGCCTTTTATTTTTCTGACAAAATCTTTTATGTATTTGCGAGACTGTCGGGTAGGCACAAGTTAAGTTTTGCATCTGTTTTTTTTTCTTTTCAAAAGGTGAGAGTATAATAGCAAAGGTAGAAAGTGAGCAGAAGATGCCTAATGTTGCTGGGCAGTATGGCGTGAACAGGTCTACAGTAGGCCGCAGTTCAATCTTATTTAAGAAAAATACTGTATAATCAAGAAGACTCAAGCAGCTAAAGGAGTAACAAAAATCACATCTGAGAAATAAAGAACATCGAAGAGTTCATAATGGAACTTGAAATGGATCTGACGACAGAAGAACGCCAAGAACTCTTGAATGAAGAACATCAAGAATCTCAGCAAGATATGTTTTCTTCTGAAAAAGAGGATTAATGCCGATATTTGTTATTAAAGATCCTTTGAAAAAGTGGGAGGATGTCAGAACAACGTTCTTAGAATGGCATCTAAACCAGGTTGAGGCTTGGGGATTTCTACAATTACAATGCTATTAATTACTTACGAAAAATCCTGAAGAAGAGAGAAAAGCATTCAACATTAGACAGATTCTTTAACCATTTCAAACGAAAAAAACATGACTAATAAAAATGCAAGACTGTGTGTGTATGTATTTTTATTATTACATATAAATAAACATAGTAAGAAAGTATATATTTTTTATTTTGGGGAGTCTCCAGAACGAATTAATTAAATTCTCATAGAAACCTATGGTAAATCGATAATCGGTTAATGAACAATTCGGATAGTGAACAAAGTCTTGGAATGGATTATGTTCGTTAACCGATCACCCACTGTACAATCAAACTTGGTCATAATGAACACTAAGGGATTGACAAAATTTCCTTGCTTATTTGTAAAAATTTGTTATATTTGTGAAGAGCAGTGACATATCTAGGGGGAAAACAAATGGCTGCCCTTAGATGTAGGAGGTGCCCCATAGGTGACAAAATATATAGCTACACTACTAATAATTAGTGAAATCTATCTTCAATTTTTTAATTCTTATTTAGAATTAAAAAATAATTTTAATTCTTATATTATTTTACTTACTTAAATAAGTTGATAGATTCAAAAAACAAAAAAAAAATTATATAATTGCATTATACTATTTTTATTAATATGTTTAGATAAACTACAATATTAGTAATATTAAAACAATTTATTTTTCATAATTAAAGATAACTAGCTGCATGTGCCTGGCATTGCTTGAGGTGTTAAGGGGGTGGGGATTGGTGAGGTTGAGTTGGAGAGGGTGATAAAATCATTAGTCTTAGTAACTAAAATGTACAGTACGTTTATTGATCTCAGTATTTACAATAATGAAACTGCAAAACACAAAAAAATTGCTCGGGCTGAAGTTAACAGATAGGGACCCTGACATGTTTATCCCATAGACATAACATTGTACAGTACCTTTGCCACTCTGCCAAGCCTGAACCATTGCACTTTTTTCATATCTCTCTTCAGTGACATCATCTACAGGGAAAGGGCTTTAATTTGATACTCGAATTATATTTTTAGCTACCAGCTGTTTCAGACATACTGATATATACTGATTTGGACAAACTGAAACCCTCTTTCAATTAATATATAGATACTAGTTAGTAATATGCCTGATTTCAGTTAGTCTTTTTATCTACAAATCTTAAAATTGATGATTGCTTTAAAGATTTCACTTTTATATTTTTCAAATTTCTTCTTAAAGTTCTCACTGTGTTGAATGTCTCATTAATTGTTTCATGTCTTCTGTATGTCCTGAAATTTCTTCATACCACGTGTTCCATTGCCTCTTGAGCTTCAGAAATTGCCAGTACTAGTTTTGATTCACTTTCACTTATCATATTATCATCACATTCATCATCATTACCATTGTCTTTATTCAATATAGCTTCTATGATGTCACTCTCCACTCAAATTGTCATCAACTTGTAAAAATTCATCGATGTCATTATTAAAATCATTAATGTTGTTACATCGCAACCTTTCAGATAAAGGTACATTGCTTTCTTAGTTTCTATCACCATCGTCTAACATTGAAATTTCATTTGTATTTAATTTTAGTTTTTTGAAACAATTCAATATGGTTGTTGAAGTAACTTTGTTCCATGCGTCATTTAACAAATTTATGGCAGCTAATATTGATATCTCATTAAAATTCTGTTCTTTTTGATGGATTAAATGCAAAAGTATAAATCTTTTATAAAATCCTTTCAAACTTTTGATTACACCAGTGTTCTGGTTTTCGAACCACCATTTTTAGAAGACATCTTTGCTGATCATATAATCTTCTGTGGAATCTGGCCTGCTAGGTCTCTGGACCTCATTCCCCAGATTTTGGGGCTTCTGGAGAGCATTTCAGTATTTGCTATAGGAAAAACTGCAATATTGTACATAAAATTTTTTATTATTATTAAATCTTAAACCTTTTCCACTGCACAGTAACTTTTCAAACACACTATAAAATAGATGAATATTTATGATTTTGTTGTTTTCTGCCTTTATTTCATACTGAAAGCTTAATCACAGTTGTAACTTCATTATACTGAGCTATTTGGGCCATACTAGACTGTTAAAGTATTCCTATTTAATACTGTGAAGAGATATTTAGCAGTCCAAATGCAACCAAATCTGGCATGCTGACATTTCAAGACATGCAGAAGACATTCACACAAAAAATTAGTATTGAAATTCACCACTATGGCACTTTTGGCATTAAAAGCCACAAGTATGTTATAGAGACCTTAGTGATACAGAAAATACTACTCAATGTGGTCCCCATTCTGAAGGTTTAAAACCTGAAGGCAAGGAATAATGTATTCAATAGCCAACTGTAATTGATTCTCTGAGATGCTTTCAAGACTGCCAAAGTTGCAGAATGTTCTCAATAAACCACACTTTTTAAATCTCCCTACAATCAAAAATCATATGGATTAAGATTTGGAAAATGAGGTGGCCAGCATCTACTTTTTGTTTCAGATGGATCAGTCTTTGTCACGTGATACAGATTGCTTCTATCATGTGTGTTAGTTGGAGGAAAGTATACAAGTAGGATCAAATCATATTTACTCCATGAATATTTACTCACATAATGGCAAAATGGGAGAGTGCATGTCATACATTCTTACCATACAGTCTCTCAAAATTCTCTCTTAATACTTATTTTTTAATCTCAGTTTATTGGATATTTTAATAATGTCTTCACTTACCATTTAAACTGCTGAAGCAAGTTCTTCATGAATGCAGCAGCATGCGGACGTGCTTTATCCTGAAGAGACACAATGCCTCTGGACATTAATCCCTACAGTTTGTTTCAAACTGAAGCTTCATTTGTCACATTACCATAAACCTTGGTTATCTGTCTGTAAATTTCGAAAGGGCAGACTTTTTTCACATTCAAAAAGTGTATTACACTATGAACTCACAATTCGCAGGATCTTTAATTTTGTCACACATTTCAAAGTCACACTGTAAACAGTAAATGATCGTTGTGGCTCGCTGTTAGCATCAGACTGGCGCAAAAACATGGGAAGGTTCATGATGCAGCAGTTGAGGGTGGTGGAAGAACTGAACGTTTGTCAGATCAAAATGTTCTTTTCTTTTAGAATGACCCACGTGTAAGGCAATATTTTATTACTTACTTATTCTACTTTAATTAGTTTGATTGATAAAGCATACTTTATGATAATACAATTGAAGTATATATGAAAAATTTATTTTGTGTTTTACAGGTATGTTGGTGTATTAATAGTAATCTAATTCTGATGAAAAAAGAAAGTTTTGTGTAAGGTAAATAGAGATGGAATTAATCAGCATTATTCTTAATTTAACTATATGTTTGATATGTTCTTCTGATGTTGTAAAATATATAAATTTTTCAGATTAATTTTATCAATGAAGTATGTATTGATATTTTGCTACAAATGAGATGCTGTTGATGTTGTTGTTATGTTTGTTATAAAAATCAATTCTATCCATAGATATGGAAATTGAATGAGATAGCTGTGAATAAAGATGTTTTAATTTATATTTGCAAAACTTTAGCTGTATAATATTACTCTAAGAATTCAATTTAACATTTTATACAAATTGAATTTGATATTCATGTATTTCTTTTTTAATATTTGAAGATTAATATACAGTTAGTCGCTAAATATAATTTTTATGAATACATTTCTATTTGAAAAAGTGATTTCCAGATTAGAAATCTAGAGTCAAAACATGAAAATTTTTTTGGAAGAATACATACATAAACAGGAGGTCTACAATTTACGTCATTAAAACTCATTTGTTGATTGTTTTTATCATTGAGTTAAAACTATTTTTTAAATAATTTAATATTTAAAAACTATCCATAGTATGAATGTATGAATTTTTGTAATAAACTATTATTATATACTGTAATTATTCATTAATAATAATTGTTAGGAAAAATGTATATGTAATTATCAAATAAGAATAGTTACTGTAGTGAATTTTAGATTTAATTCTAGTAATTGAATTTGAAACTTAAAATTACACTGTAGTCTCAGTTGTATTTGTTTACAATAATGCACATTTTTTATGTATAACTTCTTTATACATGTATATGCATCATTTTCAGCATAATTTAAATTTATATATTTAAATCTGTAATCTATTTACAATGTTTAAATAAAATGTAAATAGAAAATAAGTTGTACTATTTTTTTTTATAATGGTCTACAATGAATTTATATATTTTAATAAATAATAAACAGTAGTATTAACAATCTTTTGTTATATTTTTAATTCAGTGGTTATAACTGAAAAATTCTGATGTTTATTTTTTTTGCTTTTGAAAGAAATACAAGAGACCATGCAGTAGCACCAGCCCTGATCTTCATAAAACAGAACAATGCTTGAAATTTTTGAAACGCATTCCAAACAGCAAATGTATTTCTGACACATTTGTTCAAATATTAATATTCCAAAACAAAATAGTTCAGTACACTCAGTTGAACTTTCAGTTCCAAACAGAGAATGCCACTTTCAAAAATTACAAGCATTGTTCTGTTTTATTAAAGTACTTGATGATGATCTTGTAAAGGTAAAAAATGTTTGATTTAATGTACTCTGTCTGCTGAAATTTAAAGTTTAATGACATACATTTTTAGCCATATTCTTCAGTTTGAGTGCACTTTACAATATAGAAACCTTGATCCATCCTTTGTTTATAGCACCAAACCTTCTTTGAAGAATCTTCAAAGAAGTCATTATTATGATAATAACGACTAATCATCAAAAAAATAATAAGCTACTGGAGAATTGTTTAGAAGGTTCTTCAAAGGTTTGGTGTTATATTTCCACTCCAGTATTAATTAGTGTGAGTAGAACATCTTTTGTTTGCCCCTGAAACTGGCACTAAACTGAAATATTTCACAAACTACAGTATATATAATTCTTATTTTAAGTCTATATACAAACTGAGTTTGAGTGTCTGAAAGTCACAGAATTTGATGATAACAATGGCATAGCAAAATTGTACATTTAGTAGTTTACATATACTGAGGGGTATTCTGCTTAGTATCTGTGATCTGTTCACATACATTTGTTAATGTTTGAGAGTACACTATTTAGGAGAATATTATATCAAAGTTTGACTGTGTTTGGAAATATGCAATAGCAAAGTTTTAGTGAATTAAATAAAATAGCTAAAATTTTAAAATCATGAAAAAGAACACCAGAAAGACTTGGAATGAAATAACATTGAAGGAAGTAAAGTAACAGTAGAGAGATGGGCCACAAAACTATCCTAGATTTCAATAGTTTGTCTGTATTGTGATGAGTTCAAGAAAAATGTTTGCATTAGTACAATTTGTTGTGCTTGTTTTGCATTTTTGGCAAATTGCTTAAGTGCTTAGAGTACTTGCTTACTGTAACACTGTAAATTACAATGTATACTATTGATTTAATACATTATCTCAAAATGCGGCTGGATTACTGATGCCATCAGCCAGTTGCAGTTGAAAATTTGTAGTTTACATTGTAGACCAGCCAAGTATTCCAGCAAAGGAAGAAAAACTTACCGAGTATGACGTTTATAGTTTTTTATGTTGCTAGCACTTTCAATGAACTTATGTTCATTGTCATCAGGCAAACAAAATTTTAAATTTGAATGCAAATGTTCTAATGTGAGTGGAATACATATTATTTAAAATGAAAAATTAAGAATTAAAAACATTTATGAGCATGTTATAAACTTCGATTATACCAGGGCTGTGGAGTCAGAGTCGTGGAGTTTTGATGTTTTAGCCGGAGTCGGAGTCGGATGGTAAGGAAAAATCGGAGTTGGAGTCGGTAGATTTTTACACGACTCCACAGCCCTGGATTATACTCAGTGTTATACAGATCCATGTTAATGGTGTGATAGTAATTAAATCACTATTTAACCATTTATTTAGGGCAACCCATATGTTAGGCAGGTCAAGCGTGAGAGTATTGCATGGTTCCAAGGTTGTGAGAAGAGATTCCCATATAAAGAAGAGTTTCTGGTTCTACAGCATCTGAGCTCAACCAACACTACTTAGTAGTGTTGGTTGAGCCCATAATGGGTTGTAGCTCTGTTTGAGCACCTTTTTTGTAAGCTCTGTGGTACACTTTACTTTCACCGTATCATCCTATTGCTCAGCTAGGTGGCTAGTGAGCATTCTTGTTGTGGCCCCAATGTATTTCATACTCATAAAAGCTGTATTGTGTCAAGTATTCCAGTTTTCTTGAGATTAATTGCAGCAATGATTTTTTTTTTTTATGAATACAGTTTGGGCATCAGAAAATATAGTAATGAAGGTGAATACAATAAACACTAAGCTTAAGTTTAAAATAAAATCAAGAATTTTTATGATGATCTATGGGCAAACCCAATCAATTTGAATGAAAAGTATTCATATTTTTAAATGTATTTTTTTTTTTTTTTTTTG